TTTCATAATCATGAAATTAACATTGATAAAATGTTATCTAAATTGCATACTTATTTAAATTTTACCAACTGCCTCATTAATGTCTTTTTTTTCCCAGCAAGTGAATGATATCAGAAAAACTAATGTCTTTTCCTGATTTCGAATCCAGGTTCATACATTCTGTGTAAGTGTCATGCCTCTTTAGTTGCCTTTAATCTGGAAAAGTCCCTCAGTCTTTGTTTTTTTATGACCTAGATACTTTTAAAGAATGCTGGACAGTTATATTATAGAATGTACCTTAGTTTGGGTTTGTGTAACATTTCCTCACGATTAGACGTAGGTTGTGCGTTTTCGGCAGGAGTACCTCAGAAGGCATGCTATGTTCTTGCCAACGCACTGCATTAGGAGGCACATGGTATCATTTTTCCCATTACTGGTGATGTTAACTTTGATCACTTGGTTAAAATGATGTTTAGCAATTTTCTCCATGGTAAAGTTATTCTTCTCTTTGTAATTAATAAGTATTTTGTGGGGAGGTACTTTAGGCTATATTGTCTCTAATTATACTTTTACGAACTAATTTTAGTGTCAATTGATGATTCTTGATCTTCTCTCCTCTTCCGAAGTATTACTGTGGTATTGCCAAATGGTGATTTTCTTCTTCTTTTTCTTTTTTTCTTTTTTTAGAGACACTGGCTGTCTCTGGGCTGGAGGGTAGTGGCCCAGTCCATAGCTCACTGCAGCCTCAAACTCCTGGGTTCAAGTGATTCTCCCGCCTCAGCCTTTGAAGTAGCTAGGACTACAGGTGCATGCCACCACACCTGGCTAATTTTTCTATTTTTTGTAGAGCCAAGCTCACGGGGTCTTGCTCTTGCTCAGGTTGGTCTCCAACTCCTGAGCTCAAGCAATCCTCCTGCCTTGGCCTCCCACAGTGCTAGGATTACAGGTGTGAGCCACTGTGCCTGGTTCTTAGTTCTTTTTATCAGAAAACATTAAGAAGGTAAGAATACTGCATGTAGAATACTATGTGTGCACGTTAGTACTGGAGTACCACTGCTTCTAGGCACTTTTGGTGGACAGAGCAAGGAAATAGGTGTGTGTACACATATCTATGTCTATTTCCATATTATCTATTTGTGCATATGCTAATACCTATAACTTTACACTGATACTTCAAATTCTAATCCAAAAGTTCAGGGTTCATTCCAGCCTTTCTCCTTTCCTTATTTGTATAATAACTCCCTTCTCTGACAGTGAGAAATCTGGCT